AATATGTATAGTACAATCTGTGATTTTCATCCTACTTTTTTGGGGAAAAGGGGCATGATATGTCTAAGCAAAGAAAACAAATGTCAAAGCAGTCACCAATATCTTGATTAGTTTGAATGAAGGACTTACAAGTTTTTCCCTTTGTCTTTGCTTTTCTATATCCCCAAAATGTCTGCATTCAGCATGTGTTGCTCTGTAATTAAAACTAAAACAAGTAACATTTTCCTTTCTAAAGAATGGTATTAAGTATTACTGACTAGTTGTGTAGAACTCAGTGTGTCTGCATTATGGAATCATCACAAGTTCAGGGGCTCATTCTCAACTATTAAGAAACACAATTTCACTACTGTACTGAAGAACTGTGGTCAACAGTAAGACTGGTTCTCTGCCCTCATTTGTCCATAGAATAGATTCTCTCAAATCTAATTACTTCTTCAAAGAATTTGATTTTTCTGTAAGGCTTTTGAGTCAGAGTGCCAATTTTTTAAAAACTTGCACTTACAGTGTAGTGAAGAATAGTGTTTTGCTCTCTAAAGCACTGAGTATTTTCATTACTGGCTGCCATTTAAAATTTATTCTTTATTTTAATTTGTATTTTTTTTTAAAAAAAAGAACAACCCATATCTTCCTTATCCATTTGTCTGTTGATGGGCATTTGGGCTGTTTCCAAAAACTTGTATTTTTAAAAACGTTCCTAGTCCTTGACACATTGCTATACTTTCATTCTATCTGTGGTTATAACTATTACACAGCGCAGATGTGGTCTAGCAGTTGGGGTGCTCTGTTTCCTAAATGACCAACCACTTCCACATTTAATCCCTGCAATCAATTCTCCACGCAGCAACCATATAATGATCACTTAAAAACTAATCAGATCGCATCCCTCTCCTGCATAAAACCATCCAATGGCTCCCCTTTGCTTATATTTATTTATTTTGGTAGTTCTGGGGATTGAACCCAGAGCCTCAAGCATATAGCCGAGCACTCTACCACTCAGCTACACCCTTAGGCTCTTATGGGTTTTAAAATAAAATTCAGATTCGGCTATGGTGGCCAAGGCTCTGCTATGCAACCTTGAAAGCACTTAAATCACACACCACCTTCCTTTTGTACCAGAACATGAACTACCTCATGTTACTTCCTTTTAGAAATAAAAGCCGGGCGTGGTGGCACAAGCAAGTAATCCTAGCACACCGAGGTTGAGGCAGGAGGATCACTGTGAGTTCAAGGTGGCCCTGGGCTACACAGTGAGTTTAACACCAGTTTGAACTACATAGCGAGACCCTGTATCCAAAAAAAAAAAAAAAAAAAAAAAGCTTGAAATGTTTTGTTCTCGAATTTTCACATGCTCTTCATCCCTCAAGAATTAACTAAAACAGAACCCCCCTTTTCGCCTTCCATCACATTCACCCAGTTTTATTTCCTTTGAAGCACCTATCACAGTCTTAAATTACAGTCAGCATTTGTTAGTTCACGCTTTCTTTTCCTATTTCCCAGGCTAGAATACAAGCTGCAAGGGAAGCAACTTTGGCAGACTTTCTGTCATGGCTGCATCTTAGTTTATCTTCTCTGTACCAGACCCACCCTCCTTTTAAATTTTGAAGCAAGACTGCTGCGACAAGGAACTAAGCTGCCCAAACTGGGCTCCAACCAGAGATACTCCTGTCTGTTTCCCAGAGTGCTGCGACCAAAGGCACGCTTTGACCACTCAGAGCGCCTCCACTTTAAGGTGGGAGCCAGACAGATGAATGTGTGCCCGCAGCAGCAGGGACGCCTCTTATTGAAATCAGCGCGGTCTAGCTGGGGGATTTCTAGAAATTTCGGGAAGCTTGACCGGCAATGAGGGAGCGAGGCCGGACAGAGGGCATCGCCATAGTGGAGCCTTAGCAAGTTTATGGACACTAGGGTCCAGGCGTGGGAGAGGGGGCCACAGAGCCATTTGGAGGGTTTCCGTTTCGGTTTTTTGAGGAGACCAAGTCAGGAACGAGCTCTCTCCGGCGGGCGTCCAAGCGTCCTCAAGCGCCCAGGCGCCACACGCGACGAAGGCTCGGGAATGCTGAAGTGGGTTTCACAAGGAACTTGTTTTCCTGACGTCTAAAACAAACACAGAACGTGAGGAAAAGCTGAGAGGTACTGAAAAGGGTCGCATCTCCGCCCGCAAGCATTTCC